CGCTGTTTGGGAAACTCTACGAATGAGATGTTGAGGTGTCCGGCCTCTTGAAAATTTAGGGTTTCGTTCAGGGTTTTCTCGGTTTGGGGTTTAGGGTTTAGGGTTTAGGGTTTGCGTGTTTAGGGCTTTGGGATGGGAGTTCAGTGTCCAGGGGGCTTAGGGTTTAGGCTTCATAGGGTTTAGGCTTCAGGGGTTTAGGGTTTGGGGTTTCGGGGCGAAGCTTAGGGGCTTGCAAGAGACTGCAACGGTTGCGGGTGAAGGGCACTAGGCACCCAAATCCTTGGCGTTGCATCTATAAGCATATCTAACTTAAAGCAAACTACACGTGGGGAGTTTGGGGTATATGGGGCTTCTATAAGGCTTCCCTAAAGTATATAGACCTTCTATAAGGCTCCTATAACCATAACTACCCACCTGAAAATGTCCTAGACGAACCCTGAGGCTCCATGTACCCTTATAGTGTATACTTAGACCCTAAAGTGCCCATCTAGGTGACCCCTTTAAGGTCTAAGTATATACTAGTTGGGGACAGGGAGCCTTTCGGTAAGCAAGCAATATACTGAACCTGTCGCTCAAAGCCCTGAGCCCTGAACTCTAATATAGGGTCCTTAATAACTAGAATGGTGTTTGGGGGTATACTTATATAACTATGATAACGAACCCCCAAAACCCAATTCTAGTTACTAAGGCCCCTACATTAGGGTGGGAGTATGCTATCGTCGTACTAAGGACTCCTGAGGAATTGGAAAAGCATTATATTTCAGGCTAAGGACACTAATTGTAGGCTGGAACTCGTCTTTAGACGTGGAGGACCTACGGAAACTTGGATTTCTGCTGGGCTGTCTATGCAAGCTTTATGGTGTACTACAGGGACATTAATAACAGAGATTGGGTTCGAGCGCCATGATACAGTACGTAATTCTTCGAACAGATAACAAGGACTACAGGAGACACTACTAGAAAGTCTTCCCTACTATAGGGGCCTCAGTAGCTAGAATAAGGTTGTGGGGTCTAATATGCTATAAGTAGAATACGGAAACCTCTAACATAGTATAGGTAATTATTTAGCCCATACATTACACCCTTAACCCTACACCCTAGAACCCCAAAGCCCCAATTTATCAGGTCTGTTCCAGACCTCTAAACCCAAAGTCTCGGGCAGAAGGAGAAGCCGAGCAGCGAAGGCAGAGGAAGTGTGAATGTGACACTTAAACACGACAGCCTGTAGGCTGCCGTTTACGTCTTGTTGGCAGGGCTTTGGGCCTGTAGTGTAAGGCTTTGGCTTCAACGCTCTGGCATGAGGGTTTTGGCAACAGACGCTCAAATCACTGAAACGCCCCAGGTTTAAAGTTTAGGGTTTAGGGTTTCCTAAATTCGAAACACAAAAGACGGCCCTGGTGCAAGGGGCTTTGTGCGACAGACCCTTGCCTGCAGCCCCCAGCAGTTCGGCGGCTGCTTGAGCCAAACTCTTGGAAGGTTCATGCTTTAATATAGGGGCCGGAAGAATTAGAATAGGGTTTCGGGGCCCATTATACTATATTTATAGAAGGAATAAGTAGTCATTTAGGCCCCTATGTTAGGGTGTTTGATGGGTGTTTGATCGTTTAGGGTTTTGGGGTTGCGCGTGCAAGGCTTCAATGATCGGGTTCGAGGTTTTAGACAGGGTTGAGGGTTTAGGGCTTCGTCAGAGTCATTAGATGCGGAGAACTGCACGGCCTATCACGAGCCGAAGGTGGGTCGTTATTGAGAGTAACAGTGTTTCGAGATGCATCTGCTGCTATTCATATCAGACTGCTCTCTCTCACTCTCTCTCCATCTCTCCCTCCCTGTCTCTCCCACTAACTCTCACTTTCTTCTATTCGTCTCCACAACTACCTGACTACCGAACGAACTAACGAACTAACGGATATAGGTCCTGACCCTATAATCAAGAGACCACGTAACCCAAAAAGGAACGGCAAACTGTGCCAGTTATGGTTTGTCATGTAGCTCGTCAACAGTAATTATGAGATGAACTCAACGGTAAGCCCATTCACAGTTCCAGGATCGTAATGACCTGCCGTTCTTAGCCACTCATAGAACCGAAAACCCTAAACCCCTAAACCCTACACCCTAAACCCTAAGTTCATAGCCACTCATAGAACCGAAACATTGGCTGCGAGCCATAACGCCGACTGTCCAAAAGGCAAATACAAAGGGTCCACGCGCCAAGCCCTATAGTGCAGGGGCCTTAATCACTAGAATAGGGTTTTGGAGGTTCCTTATTATATTTATGGTAGAAGATACCCCAAACCTTATTCCAATTATTAAGGCCAATCTATTAAAACTAAACTGTTATGGAAGCTTTTGTCTTCGAGCATGGCACATGTGGTACAGGATTTGAAGGCTTAGGATTACAGAAGGTTGCAGTACTGCTTAACCAAGAGTGAGGCTTACTCTTTCTGCAGCCTTTCGTGGTTGTCACCGAAGCTAGTGCCGATGCTACCCAAAGTCCCAAGTC